CTTATTTTAGAGGTTGGATTATTATAGAGCTCCTTGATATTAGATATTATTAGGTCACTTATTTGAAACTTCTTTAGCACTTTAAACAGGTAGGACCAATCAACTGAGTCAAAAGCCTTTTCAGCATCTAGACTGATAATCATTGCCTTTTCTTTATGTTTTTGTATGTAACTCATTACGTGCAGGGTACGTCTAATATTATCCTGGGTTTGTCTTTTGTTAATGAATCCTGTTTGATCATTATTTATCAGATTTGATATAATATTCTCCATCCTTTTAGACATTATTGAGGTGTAGATGCGATGGTCCACATTGAGTATTGATATTGGTCTGTATGACCCGCACTCTAATCTGTCCTTTGCTCTTTAGGTATAAGTGATATAATGGCTTCTTTCCAGCTTGGGGGGATCTGTGTCTTTTTGAGTGCCCAGTTGAAAGTTTTTAAAAGTAGCGGAGTGAGGTCCTCTTTAAAAGTTTTATACCATTCGGAGCTGAAACCGTCATTCCCTGGTGATTTGTTATTCTTTAGATTCTTAATTGCATTTTGTATTTCGGTTTTGGTTATTTCAACACTGAGTTTGTTGTTTTCCTCCTTGGTCATATGTGGGAGATCAAGTGTGTCTAGAAATAAATCAATATCCTTTTCTTCAGCCCTCGTTATTTTAGAAAATAGTTTTTTGTAAAATGATTCAAAGGTGGATAGTATATCTTCCTGTTTAGTCTTTATTGTATTACTATGATTGTCTCGAATTTTAAAAATTGTCCTATCTGCTTGTTGTTTCCTAAGTTTCCAGGCTAGTATTTTGGTAAATTTTGCACCGCTCTCATAGTACCTATGTTTTGTGAAAAACATCTTTTTTATTGTTTTTTGGGTAGTCAAATTAATGTAATTTCTTATCTTTCTAATCTCTTGTAATGTTGATTGGCTTTTGTTTTGAGCATGTCTATTTTCAAGCTCTTTTAGTCCTTCTTGCAGCTCTTGCAGTTTTTTCTGTCTTTGATCTTTTTAATTGATGCTATGGCTATAATCTTCCCCCGTAGTACAGCTTTGGCTGCGTCCCAGAGGATAGGTGGAGAAGTTTCACCATTATCATTCTCATTAATGTATCTTGATATTTCTTATGATATTTTCTTTTTAATTTGTGTATCATTTAGAAGGCTGACATTAAATGTCCATAATGTATTCAAAAAGCGTTCAATACAAAAACAACTGGACTTTATTTGTAACAGAAGACGTTTCGCTCCTCATCCGAAGAGCTTTCTCAATTCAAAGAGCAGAGAGTAAGAGATTCAGGTTATAAGGCTGAGTGAGATAAGACACACACACATATGTAGATTGGCAATTCACACCTAAGCAACATTAACAGTAAGAGTCTTTTGTTCCTCTAATTCACAGACGAGGCCCCTCTGTTCACATCAGATGTGAAAACCGGATGGGAATCTGTTTTAAAGTTGAATTATAGGTTTTTTAAAGTGGAAATCTGAGGCCTCCTCCTCTGTTAAGAGACGGCTTTTCTCTTTTTACATAAATTGCCTCCTTCACCCCCCTCTCAAACCATCTGTGTTCTCGGTCCAAAATGTGCACATTTTGGTCCTCAAAAGAGTCCTGAATGACTGAGAATCTTCACCAGCATGTCCATAATGTGTTTCTTTGTTTTTCATCCAAAGCCATTGTCAAATATATAGGGGCATGATCACTTGTGTCTATTGTTCCTATCTCCGCTTCAGTAACTTTAGGTCTGTCTTTATTAAAAATAAAGAAATAATCTAGCCTTGTATATACCAAGTAGGGGTTAGAGAAGTGGGTATACTGCCTGGTCCTTGGATTCATTTCCCTCCAAATGTCTATTAGTCCGATGTTTTGCATTAGGTTGCTGAATTTTTTATTGATTGTTTTACTGTTAGCTTTCTGTCTAGAGCTATCTAAGGATGGCTGAAGGTGAGTATTAAAGTCTCCCCCGCAGATAAGCGTTCCCTCTGAGTTATTTACAATCAGGTCTATTATGTTAATAAAAAACAAGACATCACTTCCAGGTGGGGCGTAAACATTGAGTAAAGTATATAATAATAATAATAATGTCATCACAATGTCAGCACTGTATGTTTCCATACAATGGCGAAATTAGTCTCTGCATTTAACCCATCCACCACCAGGTGGATGAATGTTATTTCAAGATTTCTTTACCTTTTCCAAACTCTACCAATAACTATCCCAAACCATTATTTTAATGATTGGGACAAAGATATATCCAGATTTATATGGAACGGAAAGAGACCTCGCATTCGATACAAAA